GATTTTACGGTGATTTGTATCTAAATTTCAGGTAAATCACGAAGTCTTCTACATAGCGTGCGATCAAATCCGGAGTCCAGTGTTGGTGTTGGACCACAGGGGGGAAGTGGTGAAAGAGGTGCACAGAGGACCGTACGGTCACGTCCTCTTCGACTCCAACCCCGCCTTCTATTTAGCCGTTGACTTCCAGGGAGGCATTCCCGACCCCCTCACAGGCCTTATCCATTTCAGCGATAGCCGGGTCTACGAGTCACTTGTGGGCCAATGGCTGACACCCGATTGGGATCTACTGATGTCTAACTTAAAGGACCCGCAATCGCTTCACGCCTACCGATTCAATGGCAACGACCCCATCAACGCACCGGGCGATGAGCGCTGGAAGATGTTGGACCTCAACAAATGGATCCAAAATCAAGGCATCGATTTGTCTGCCTTCGACATCGGATTAATCAGTCGTTTTAGTAATAAACATAATAACGATGACAGAGAGAAGTCATCGCATGCCTTAAAATTGCCAAAAGTAACGGTTCCGTCGCTGCCCATTGTCTCGGGGTTTGCGTGCGGACTGCAAAGGACTCTCAATAACTTCGGAATGATCTCTAGTGTCGACAAATCAAAGGTTTGTTTTTGAGAAAATATTTTTCGTTGAAAACTATAATTAATTTGTTTTTCTCTTAATTTCTCAAACTTTAGGTCAAATCCGAAGACCTGTTTGAATCGTTTCAGACGAATAAGATTTGGAGCGAAAGCGTGCCTTTCGGTAACGGCATTACTGTATCGCGAGTGGCCGGACACGCGGTGGTGATGTCGGCGCCGGACGCCGACCCCATCCGGAAAGACGTGTTCACACAGATACTCAATAACTCGTATTTACTTGACTTGCATTTCGTTATCCACGGAAACGATGTCTTCTATTTCGTGAAGAACAACACGTGGAGAGTGGCCGACGACTTGACACAACTGCAGAGACTCAGCAATAGTGTCAACACGACTGTCCACGAAAACAAGGCGGAGGACCAGAAAGGAAGTGGACATCAGGTGAGCGCTCGTTAGACTCGTATTTAAGTGTTTTCGGAAACAAACGTTTAGTACATTTAGTAGTCTTTTGTCAGTCTTTTAGCCCTTTTTTGGCTTCTAATCTAATTTTGGCTCAAATTATGGCCACAAAAGTCTCACTCAATTATGCCTCAGATTTACTATCATTTCACTCACTCACTCATCCGCTCTCTCCTCCCCTCCCACTCCACTCAAACCCATTTCTAAATGAAAAACAGAATCTAAACTCAAATATCCATTGAGTGGATGAAGAAAATTGAGAAAAACATTTTCAATCATTTTGAATGAGAAGTCATTTCATACCCAGAATGAAAATACTTATACTTTTCATTAATTTTATCCCATTTTCTTACTCTTTGCTTATATTCCGCTCTAATATAACCATTTAATGAAGAGATGTCTGGACTCTAATGTTGCATAACTTTGATTTATGGCATCTCTTTATGGCTTAAGTTATATGTACTGTATTTATGAGTAGAGAAAAAAGTTGGAAAATCTCTTTTCCATCTTTACTTATAAATGCCTTTCCATATATGCCTTTCCATATAACGACTATAAATGCGATTTGAGGGCTGATATGAATTGAATACAAACAACAATCATATTAATAATAATGTGTAGAATAAAGTTGTTTTCCATTATTATTAACGAGAAATTGTTTTCCATGTTTAGGTTGATGTCCGCATACATATACAGCAATATATTTTGAATATACGCTACGGAACGGTAGCCGAACGGGAACGACACCGAGTGCTACGACACGCCAAGAAGCACGCCATCGGTCAGCGATGGTCTCTAGAGAGGGAACTGTTGGCCACCGGCCGCGAGAGTGCCATCACGTGGACGGAGTCCGAGAAGGAGCAGCTCCTGAACACGGGGTCAGTACCGGGGCTTAAAGGGGATTACTATCACGATCCCAGTGCTTACCCGGCCTTAGCCGACGATCCGTCAAATATTATTTTTCACAAACAAAACAAATTAAAGCCATCGCAACACGAGTCGACGTAATAATGACTGATATCTTAAGACTTAAGTGTTTTTTATCGTAACTCTTGTTGTAAACGATTGCTTGGGAACAGACATGCATTTAATGAGCGCCGGAATGCTTTTCATCCGTGTTTTCATTGGATTTGATGCTAAAGTATATGTGAAAAGCATTTTGTTTTGTTGTTTCTGAAAATATAATACATTTCTGTATAAATAAAATTTGATGTATGACACAAATTAATATATAATATGTAAGAAAAATGTTTTCATTACTTATTTGATTACAAACAAATGTTTTTTATATATAACTATTTATTTAATATATAAATAATTTTTTCAGTGGTATTCTCGACATGTAATTCCTTTTTTACACATTAATTTAAGAATATTTATAATTATTTATTAAATTTCCAAATATAATGTACAGAATATTTGTTATATAAAAAAGAGAAAATAAAATTATAATTAAAAATTAGAACTATGAATAATTTGGATACAAATTCATTGGAAACACTAATTCTGTGGTTTTTCAAACACCAGAATATTCTATACGTTTTGTATTAAGACATAAATGAGTGCAAAGAGATAGTAGAGGAAAGTGACGAAATAAAAGACGAGTTTAGTCCACGACTCGCGAGTGGACACCGATAGCTCATTGACCTGTAATATAGTGGTCGCGTCATATATACCCGGATCACTCATCAACGGTCTCTTCTCATATCTGTGGATGTGGTACAGCATTAGCGGCACATTGACGGCAGCGGACAACCTGTTTGTCGCACACATTCATATGAAAGATAAAGTTTTCGTATAGTTTTGACATATCATGCAAACCAATGGCCAGAGATGATGAAGAGTACAGTGATGATGGTGTGAGCGATATATTCGGGCAAAACTAATGGATTCAATGTCTGGCAGAGATCGATGGGATTCCTGTAGTCGTTCTTCATCTCATCCAACGATATGATCTGAAAGAGTGCTATGAATATGAGGAACGCGTCCACAATCAGACCACAAGAGTACGAGAATATGCTTAATATGAATGTCATGTCAGGTATTGATCGCCAAATAGTTTTGACCAGTTTTTTGCACTTTAAATATAGACATATCGCGTGATTTGCCTATTGTTTGCCTCACATCGGCCTAAGTCTCTGTCAAACTAAACATAAAGTAAAAAATACAAGACTTTCAAACTTTTATAAAACTGTAAAACAGTACAACATTGCAGACATACAACTGTTGAGTGCAAGGGTTGGGCACTGAATGCAATACTCAGCCCATTGTCAACACACCAGTCATGCAATGACTCAATTAAAACGGGGGTCTCCGGGGGTGTTCACTATAGCCCTAACCCATGCTTTTGCACACAATTGAGTGATCACGTGATCACATGACTCGTCAATAGTCTGCGTTTAGTTTGTGTCCAAATGAAGTGATTGATGGACTAATTGTGGCCCCAATTCATGTCTCACTTGCCAGTCATCTTTGGATTCAATCGATAAACATCTCATCAATGGACACATCAGTGGACACACCGATGAACGAAGACGTACTACAAGACACCGTACAACCGGTGATCAATGACCACATCGAGTGTCAGTTGTCTCGTGTGGACCGATATCTTCGTGTGGGAAGTGAGGCACTTGTGGTCCAAAGTGTGAGACACTCGTCGCTGAACGCATTGCTTCGTGTGGACACAAATGGTCACCAAATAGTACCGATGAAGACATTGAAGTGCATCGAAAGCATTTGGAGACACTTCGAGGGCAAGGATGAGGCGAACCAGAAGAATGTCTGTCAACGCATCCAACAGATGATCGACTCCAGCGTTGAATCGCAGCTGAGCCCCAATTATCTGCCACTTCTGATGGCGTCTCTGTTCGAGTGCCAGAAGCCGAAGACGAGTCAATCGGCGTTCAGATCGCTGGCCATCTCTCTCTTCGGCAAACCATACGTTCATCCGACGGATGTGTTGCTCTTCGTGGCCATCATTGGTCGCAAACGTCTTAATTCATCGAATCAGTTGAGACACTGTTTGCGGTATTACTACAGACAACACATCACCGATAAAGACATCGAAATGAATCTTGTCTTTGGCAACAAATACGGTATGAAATGATTGTGTGTTTGGTTTGCAAATAAAGCGATTGGTTGTTGTGTTGTCCCTAAGAGTGGAGCCATAAGGATGTGATCCGTTTGTGTCACGTGAAGGGCAACAAACTAACGGAACCGTTGATGCGATATAACCGTAAGAGGAAGCGGTCGGACAAAGAGGACCACGAGAGGACAGCCATCGAAAGGCGCGTCCAAGTGTTTCGCACCACAAAGAGGTCTAGAGTTGACGCCATTGTGGAGGCGCTGGACAATACACTTGTGGAGCCCAAGGATTGGTTTCAGGCGTTGAACACAATCTGGAGGAATGAGTCCATCATTTGGCGTAAAGTCATTGTAAATATATCCGGAGATTCACTGTTAGCTCTCATTCCTCGAGTTATCTCCAAATTCCCTAATAATCGCCAACTCGTCGGCGATTTGTTCCGCAGTTTACAGCGAAATGAGTTGACCTTTGGATCTAATTTTGTAAAAAATATTGTCTTTTATTATTACTCGAAGAATGTGTTGAATACATCTCTGAATCTATTGCCACAAATGAGTCAACAATTGAACACTTTTCAGATCCCGTACCAATTGAATGAAACCATTCTTGTGGTTTTCGATAAGAGTTTGGATTTCGACCGCAAGTTCTTAGCGGATCACCAGAAGAAGCGTCGCAAAGTGGATGTGTTGGATACGATGGCTATCAAAGACTTTGTTTGGATTATTCTTCAGTCGTTTCGGTGTTATGTCTCAATTGACGGACAACTGAAATGCATACAAAACATTGAAACGAGTGACAGGACATCATCATTGGGTGAATTGGCGGTCCTATTGGATGGTGTGTCCGATGAGTGTAAGAGACGGGTCCTCTATATATCCGCAGAACAGTTGGATATCAGTGAATGGCCTAAACGTTTGGATCAGAAGCTAATTGTAATTCATTTGAATCCAATTGAGTTTAAAAATTTAGGACAATATCGACAAAACGGTTTGTTATTTAGTTTTATAATCATTTGTTTATGTTTTTACTTATTTTTATTTTTTATTTAGTTTTGATTTTGAATGGTTTTAATCTGAAATGGGAGCGAATTATTGCCCAATTTTTTAAATGATAACTTTTATACAATTTTCCTCAACATTTTAAATCAAAATTCAAAATAAACTCAATATTATTTTAATTACCGGTACTTTTATCTTAAATTTTAAATTCTGGAGATATTTATAAGAATCAAACAAATGCTTAATTATTCATGTTTTGCTTTATTGCTATTTAGGAATTATTTGATAACTTATTGTTAATTATGACAAATGTTTATGATATAAGAAAAATTTGTATTTTCAATAAAAATTACTATCATATAATATGGTATCAATAAATTGCTTATACGGTATAACACTATTTAGTATCTGTTTTTGTATCAGTTTTTGAGTCTTTGTCTCGTTTTCCATCAAATTCATCAGAACTGGTGACCCATTGGCACTGTACCAGCGTTTTCATATCTAATCGTTTGTTTTTGTCGTGCTCTAAGAGGCCGTCCAACACTGTAAGACATTCAGCGCTCAATTTATTGGTCAAAATGTTTGGGGTATAGCCTTCTCTCGTGGCTTTAATGATGGCCAGCAGTGCCGTGGCTTTGAGTTTCTTATCCTTTTCATCCTTAGAATCACAATCAAAGGGTTTCTCATTGATGAGCAAGTAATACAGACAGACTCCAAGCGCCCAACAGTCGTCTCTCATGGGGTCATACGCTTTGACTGACTTTAAGAGGTCCTTCTGTCCCAGATTGACGGCTATAAACACTTTGAGGGCTTCCGGCGACATATAAGACACTGTTCCCGACGCCCTGTCGTTCTTTATCAGTCCATCGCGCCGCCTATACACCACTCGAGCGCACCCGAAGTCTGTCAATTTGATCACCTCTTTCTTGCCATCCTTAGTGATCAACATGTTTTCTAATTTCAAGTCCCCGTGAGTTATGGCTAATCCGTGCATAAATGACAAGGCGTTCACCATTTGAACGAAATATGCTTTGGCTTCAGACTCTTTAAATTGCTGTCCATTTTTTATGAGTCGATTCTGGAGGTCACCCCCATCTGCCCACTCCATCACTATGTAAGACACGTCCAGTGAGTACTTATAAATGTAATGGTCGAATAGTTTTATGATATTCTTGTGTCTACTCTTATACAGTGTGAAGATCTCACGCTTAAACATATCNTCTCTCTCTTCGGCAAACCATACGTTCATCCGACGGATGTGTTGCTCTTCGTGGCCATCATTGGTCGCAAACGTCTTAATTCATCGAATCAGTTGAGACACTGTTTGCGGTATTACTACAGACAACATATCACCGATAAAGACATCGAAATGAATCTTGTCTTTGGCAACAAATACGGTATGAAATGACTGTGTGTTTGGTTTGCAAATAAAGCGATTGGTTGTTGTGTTGTCCCTAAGAGTGGAGCCATAAGGATGTGATCCGTTTGTGTCACGTGAAGGGCAACAAACTAACGGAACCGTTGATGCGATATAACCGTAAGAGGAAGCGGTCGGACAAAGAGGACCACGAGAGGACAGCCATCGAAAGGCGCGTCCAAGTGTTTCGCACCACAAAGAGGTCTAGAGTTGACGCCATTGTGGAGGCGCTGGACAATACACTTGTGGAGCCCAAGGATTGGTTTCAGGCGTTGAACACAATCTGGAGGAATGAGTCCATCATTTGGCGTAAAGTCATTGTAAATATATCCGGAGATTCACTGTTAGCTCTCATTCCTCGAGTTATCTCCAAATTCCCTAATAATCGCCAACTCGTCGGCGATTTGTTCCGCAGTTTACAGCGAAATGAGTTGACCTTTGGATCTAATTTTGTAAAAAATATTGTCTTTTATTATTACTCGAAGAATGTGTTGAATACATCTCTGAATCTATTGCCACAAATGAGTCAACAATTGAACACTTTTCAGATCCCGTACCAATTGAATGAAACCATTCTTGTGGTTTTCGATAAGAGTTTGGATTTCGACCGCAAGTTCTTAGCGGATCACCAGAAGAAGCGTCGCAAAGTGGATGTGTTGGATACGATGGCTATCAAAGACTTTGTTTGGATTATTCTTCAGTCGTTTCGGTGTTATGTCTCAATTGACGGACAACTGAAATGCATACAAAACATTGAAACGAGTGACAGGACATCATCATTGGGTGAATTGGCGGTCCTATTGGATGGTGTGTCCGATGAGTGTAAGAGACGGGTCCTCTATATATCCGCAGAACAGTTGGATATCAGTGAATGGCCTAAACGTTTGGATCAGAAGCTAATTGTAATTCATTTGAATCCAATTGAGTTTAAAAATTTAGGACAATATCGACAAAACGGTTTGTTATTTAGTTTTATAATCATTTGTTTATGTTTTTACTTATTTTTATTTTTTATTTAGTTTTGATTTTGAATGGTTTTAATCTGAAATGGGAGCGAATTATTGCCCAATTTTTTAAATGATAACTTTTATACAATTTTCCTCAACATTTTAAATCAAAATTCAAAATAAACTCAATATTATTTTAATTACCGGTACTTTTATCTTAAATTTTAAATTCTGGAGATATTTATAAGAATCAAACAAATGCTTAATTATTCATGTTTTGCTTTATTGCTATTTAGGAATTATTTGATAACTTATTGTTAATTATGACAAATGTTTATGATATAAGAAAAATTTGTATTTTCAATAAAAATTACTATCATATAATATGGTATCAATAAATTGCTTATACGGTATAACACTATTTAGTATCTGTTTTTGTATCAGTTTTTGAGTCTTTGTCTCGTTTTCCATCAAATTCATCAGAACTGGTGACCCATTGGCACTGTACCAGCGTTTTCATATCTAATCGTTTGTTTTTGTCGTGCTCTAAGAGGCCGTCCAACACTGTAAGACATTCAGCGCTCAATTT